CTTCTCCCTCTGACCCTCCCCCCTCTCATGTGCTCTCTCTCTCAAATAAATAAATAAAATCTTTAAAAAAAAAAAAAAAAAAGAAAATGCCCTAAGGGTGCCGCGGCCTCTCTCACGTTCCCCAAACTCAGCTGAGACTCTTTGGTTCTCTCACGAAGACAAACTCTACAGGAGACCAGCAGTGGAGAGGCACCAAGTGAGAGGGGGCTCCTCCACGGGCCTTTACTCTTGGGCCCTCCCTGCACATGGCTTGTCCTGTAGGGCTGGCACGCTTTTTGGGCTCACCCCAGGATCTGAGGCCCCTGAGCACCTCTTAGCCAGAAGTGCCCCGCTAGCCACTGGGGACCAAACCTCAGTGAAGGTCTCAGAGTCTAACCCTCGAGGTCACAGCTCGTCCCTCCCTTTGTGGAGGGAAACCATGCTCCTGAGTGAGCTTTTAGTTGTGGGCACTCCTGCCCTCCCCTCCGCCGGGACGGCCAGGCCTTGGGATCCAACAGTGACCGCAGTGCCCTCGAACAAGGCCTGGGGAGGGAGAGTCTCGAGGGCCAGGCAGGCCTCTGTGATGCACTGTGGAAACATTGCATGGGTACGACCAGAACATGCAATGCAACTACAATGCACCGCAGCTGCCCGCAAGGACGCGTGCATCTGGCCCCGGAGGCGCCCGGGGCGTGTGCGGGAGCGTGCAGGCGCCCAGTCGAAGGCTGGCCTGCAGCGACCGGGGGAAGTTGTGCAAGCTGCCTGGAGCAAACGCAGAGCCCTGGCCAGCAGGATCCGGGACTCAGGGAACCCAGCAAAAGTGCAGGTGGAAACATACTTGCCCGAAGGACTAAAAGGGACCCCAACTGGGCCAGAACCGCTGGCCTGGTTTGCCTTCTGGACAGCCCCACGGCCGGGTAAGCTCCAGGTGGGTCGGAGTGTTCTCCCCCACCACAGCTGAGCTCCTCCCCGAGGCGCCAGGCAAGCTCGCACTCACGTGGTTGAGGGTGAGGTCGCAGGTGGCCCCGCTCACGTTGAGGCTGCTCCAGAGGTGGCCGCTGGCCCTCTCACAGTGGCAGAAGGCACTCTGCTGCCCGTCCGCCTTCCCAGAGAGTGAGGTGTGCATAGCTCTGCAGGTGTGGAAGACGGCCTTCACCAGGGGGCTCCTGGGCAGTGGGGGGGAGAGGCAAGAGGTCAGCGAGTGTCACCTGGGCAGCAAGAGGGGCCTGAGCTGGTGACATGTGGGTCTGTCCACTCAAATGCCGCCATAATCGCTCCAGATCCGAAGTGCCAGCCCTGAATGAGGGTGGGGCTCCCCCCGCAGCAGCTCCTTCATTCAGGGAGTGGTGGCAGAGCCCCAGGCCTGGCGATGCAGCAGCCAACAACCCAACTCCCTGCCTGCGGGCGCCCACTTTCTAGTGCAGGAGTCAGAGAGAACACGCACTGAACACTGAGATGTACGCGCCATGAAAGAAAGTCAAGCAGAGGAAGAAGGTGGCATCTTATGAGGCATGGTGGTCAAGGATGTCCTCTCTGGAAAAGAGAGACCTGAGGAGACAGGAGTGAGCCGTGTGGCTAGGGAGGATTCCAGGCAGAGGAGCAACAAGTGCAAAGGCCCTGAGTCCTCCCTGATGCATGGAGAATATCCAGGGGCCGGCGTGGCTGGAGGGAAGGAAACAAGGGGAGCAGAGGGAGGGCAGGCCCTTCGCAGCCGAGCCACGGCCCCCATCCCCAATCTGTTTCCGGCTGCTCCAGGACGCAGGCCCCCGAAGCTCATCTCCTTTTCCTTTCCCACTTCTGCGCCTCTGAGGACGGGGTCACAGGGCAGTGCCCCCTCTCACCAACTTGCCTCCTGAGGCTTAGTCCATCTGCTGTGCCCCCTGGGCTGCCTTCTCCTGTCCTGCCCCCTGGGCCAGGCCCTTTGTACCTACCTCTGGTCCCCCTGACACCGACCTGTGGTTGCCGGGCCTCCCTCCCACTGGCCCAGAACCCCTCCCCGTGAAGAGGCGCGCTGGCTGCCTCACAGAAGCCACGACTGGCCTGGTGAAGGCAATCGCACCAGCTGCCCACAGGACAAGTGCCCGCACAGGCCCGGCCACTAGCGATCCGCTCGGGGCTGCGACCAGCTCTCGTGTGCACTGGGGCCTCTCAGAACGCAGCTGCCACCAAGAGGGCCTCAGTTAAGCATCCACTCAATAAACCATGGAGCCAGGAAGGGGTGTGGGAGACCTGGGGAAAGGGCATGTGATGGAGAGGAAAGGATCAGAGACCCAGGCTCAACCAGCAGGACTGCCACTAAAGAGCCACCTGACATTCAAACAATCTACCTGTGCCTCAGTTTCCTCTTCTGTTAAGTGGCCACAATCCCACTTGCTGCCACCTATGGTGGCATGAAGTACTGACTCCATTATTTGCACCTGCTCTCTGAGGGGCCATTCCCTCAGAAGCTGGGTGTTCAACTCCCTAGAGAAACGGAGCTTCTTCTCATACAGCAGATCGGGGAGAGGCCTGGGGAGGCTGGGGATGGGAGAGGGGTCCCACGGCATCGTTATCCCTAAAGAGCAAAGGGACCCCAGAGGGACTGAATTCAGGGGGAGGAACGTCTGCTGAGGGTCTTAGCGGATGCCAGGGCTCCGCTGCTTACACGAGGGGATTCTGGACGATTGACCTGCCATGTCCTCAGGCACACTGGCTGGGAGACAGCACACACAGGGTGGAGTGCAAGGTGGGTGCTGACTGGTCAGGGTGCTTAAAAAACAGGTTACTTAAATGAAACTGGGGTGTCAGACCTACCTCAGAGAACCTGCCTAGACCTACTTTTCTCAGCTCCTTTCTGCTCTCCTGGTTAATGCTCTGCTTGATAGGAAATGTTTCAGCCTTGGCTCTGAGGACCGGACCTGGCGGGGCTTTTCTGTCTTGGAGCATTCTACTACTTCTCTGGAGTTGCAGAAGATGTTAGGGACGCTCAGGCAGAAAGAGCCCGTGTCAGCAGGCAGGGTGGAGCGTCACTATGGGCCAAATACTCCCAAGAGGCAGGCGTGAGTCCCCCAGGAGGAAGGTCAAAAGTTCTCTGGTTAGGCCTCGTGCTACAGGCCCAAGGCCCTTTTAGTGACAGGGCTGATGGGGGGCTAAAAGGCAGCTGGAAGAAAACTGGAGACCATGCTGGCCCACGAGAGAAGGTCCTCGGGCCCTCCCAAGCCCTGAGCTGGCCGTGAGCCATCACCACACTGCCTGGCTTCTCCAGGAGCCTCCGAAGACACCAGCAGCCACACTGCTCTCCCTCCAGCCTGGGGTTCCGTGGGGGATGGGGGAGGAGGCCCCGGAACTAGCAGTGACAGCTGCTGGGACAACAGACGCACAGACGGGGTCCTCGCCAAGCTCCGTTTCTCCGTGCTACCCTCCTCCTCTCTCTCGCTTTCTCTCTCCATCTACCATGTAGTCCCCAGGCTGCCTGACCTTTCACCCCAGTGACCACTCAGACCTGCTCACTCCTGCTAACATGGAGAAGGGAGCCTGGCACGCCTGGCCTCTGGGATTCCCCCCCCCCCGGAGGTAAGTGGTCAAGGGGGCTTACGCACTCTGTCACTTCCAGGGCTTTGGGGACACGCTCTACTTCAGTAAAATGAGCGCGTACAGCTGCATCGTCTCCCTGGAGCCAGCTGATGGCCACAGTGATGGCGGATGTCCACCACCGACAGATGACATCTGGACCTAGAAGGGAACAGTACGAAACACGACTCCAGCACCCGCAGATTGACAGCGCTCAGCCCGGCTGCGTGCGCCCAGTTCCTCTGTGCACGAGCCATCATTACCTTCTGCAGATGGGCTGGGGACCTTTGGGTTGCCCCCTCATACAATTCTGGTGGGACATGAGCCAGCACTATCTTCTGGAAAGTGTTTGGCAACCTGTATCAAGAGCCTTAAAGATGCTCACTCCTATTAATCTAGTAATCCCATTTTGGGCAACCTATCGTCAAAAAATTGGCCTAAACAGAGAAAAAAAAGAATAACAAAGATGTTCACTGTAGTGTAACTTTTAAAAAAAGATTTATTTGAGGCGCCTGGGTGGCTCAGTTGGTTAAGCGACTGCCTTCGGCTCAGGTCATGATCCTGGAGTCCCGGGATCGAGTCCCGCATCGGGCTCCCTGCTCAGCGGGGGGTCTGCTTCTCCCTCTGCCCTCTTCCCTCTCGTGCTCTCTGTCTCTCATTCTCTCTCTCTCAAATAAATAAATAAAATTAAAAAAAAAAAAGATTTATTTATTTGAGAGAGAGTGCAAGAGAATGCGCGCACACGCATGCACATGAGCAGGGAGGAGGGGCAGAGGGAGAGAATCTTAAGCAGGCTCCCCGCTGAGCGATCTCACCACCCTGAAATCATGACCTGAGCCAAAATCAAGAGTTGGACACTCAACCGACTGTGCCTCCCAGGGGCCCCTTTAGTGTAATTTTTAGGTAAAATGCTGGAAACAACCTGAATCTCCAGCAGTCATGAAAAATGGGGCTTCCCAAGTGTTTGCAGTAAGAGGCTCTTGTTAGAGTCTGTCTTTCCCTCTCAGAGGCTCAGTTTTCTCAGCTGCAGAATGATGGTGCTAGCGGTCTTGCCATGCCAGGGGTGGGGGGCGGAAATGTAAGATAAAAGGCGGAAGAGCCTGTGCTTTTCCCAAGACAGTCCACAGGGTCAGAGGTCAGGGGTGGCTGCTTTTCTGGAATCTTTTCCTCCCCGGGGAGAATGGCCAGAAGGGAGCCTGACAGCCCCCCTGTCCCAGCAGCCCCAGAAAGAGCTGCTATACCATCATCCTGCTGGCCATCTAGGGACAGAAGCAAAGACTGTCCTGGGGCCAATGTCCTGGTCAGCAGGCTGCACTGGCTCAGCCGATGGGGAGCTGCAGAGCAGTACAGATAACCGGATGAAAAAGCCTCTTCAGCAGAGAGTGTCAGACCCAAAAGCAGCCTTGGGGGCCACTGTGCATCTGAGAGTGAGCCACCACCAGCCCCCGGTGTCTGGACCACTTGCTGCCCAGTCTGGGTGCTTGGGAAGGTTCCTGCCTCACTCGGCCAAGGCCCAGGAAAGAGATTCACTGCTCCTCGTCCCACTTCTAGGAGAATCATGATTTCCTGTCCCCGAATGCCACCCACCAGGGGGTACCTATGGGCTGGGGCTACGTGCAGGCCACAGATACACACCTCAGATCCAGAGAAGATTCCCAAGTGCACACTCATAACTGCCCCGGACCCCCTAGGACAAACGGGCTGTGAAGGAGTGAATTAAGCAACATGAGGCCCGCAGAGCCACCCTGCAGAATGCTTACCAAGGGCTGACTTGAGCACGGAGCTGCTGGAGAAGGGTGGGGTCACAATCCCCACAGAGTCCACAAAAGAATTAAGTAATTTCAGGTACTCCAGAGCATTAGAGAACTCACTAGAAAGAAAAGAAACGGTTCCACTGTATTATCAATCAGAACGTACAGAAGGTCCCCCCTCATGCCTGGCTTCGATGCTCCAGTTTAAGACCCAATGGCCATTTTGGTCCCTTCCCCTGCATCACGCCAGACGCACCCTGAGCCCGGCCCCCAACGCTGTTCCCAGTCTCCACAGACCTTCTTTCTTCACGTGTCCCTGGGCTGCTCCTGAAGCGCCAGCCCTTCTCTTTCATCCCTTGTCCAGCAAAACCTGACTCTTCCCCTCAAGGCCTAGTTCAAATGTCCTCTCCTCCCACCCGTCTGCCGATGTCACGGGGCAGAACTGGCCTCCCTTCCCTGTTCAGGTGCACTCCAGTCGGGACCTGGGCTTTGTAGGACCATGACTTTGGCACCTGTCTGCCCCGCACGTCTCACTCTGAGGAGGAAAGACTATGCTCCACTGCTCTGTAAGAATAAGAAATTGCCTGGCACACTGTATAAAGGTCTGGGTCCCCCAGATGTCTGCCTTCTGCTCAGCCCACCACATTCCATTCCTCTGTCCTTGGCAGGCCTCACCCCCTCCACACCCCAAAAAGCGAAGCAACCCAGTGAGATCTCTGATCTGTTCTAAGAACTGCCTCCACTTGGTGAAGGGATGGGGAAGGCAGCAGCCTCGGTCTGGGGCTAAAGTGAAGAGGTCAGGTCAGAGCTCCCACGGGACTCTCGTGTGGCTGCCAGCTTTGAGAAATAAACACCAAGGAATCATTTGGTTTCCCCGCAGACCCTACACTAGGGCTTGCTTCCTGCCCGGTGTGTGGGCCTCGCAGATGCCGGAAGCAGGGGCCCATCCTGGGGACATTACCAGCTCTCTTCATCCTGGTCTCCAGCCTTCTTCTTGGCCTGAGGCTTCACCAGTGACTCCACAGCTCGCTCCAGCAGGTTCTTGCAGAAGGCCTGGTGGACCTGGGCAATGGGGTCAGCTGAAGAAGAGGGGAAAGGCCAAAAGGGTCAGATGGTCTTCTCATGAGCCCATTTTGTCTTTGCAGAGAAAACAGAGGGTGGGGAGAGGAACCTGAGAAACAGCTCTCCTCTCTGAATGGGGATCAAACCCCCTTTTCCACCAAAGTCCAGAAGCACCCTGCTCGATAGCTGGAAGGTGGGGGGAGATGTGGGGGAGCGGTGCTGTGTCTCCTGGCACAGTACTCAGTACCTCCATTCAAGGTTGGGGTTGCAAGCCTTATCAGTAAACAGAACGTGGGAAGGTGGATAGTCAGCCGAGGAGAACAAAGTGGTGGCTGCTGCCTTGACATGACATGGAAGACCTGCTCCTGTTTTCCAGGCGTTTGTGGCCAGCGATGGTCTGGCTGCGCTGATTAAACAAGTGGCCTTGTAATGCTTGCAACAGCTGTCACGGCCAAGTTCCCAACTGGCAGGCCCAAAGCAGGGTGGCAACGGCCCCTTCCCTCCCGTCCCATGTGCAGACATGGGGGCCACCATCTGACAGGGACACTTAGGAACACATTCTGGGCAACAAGGCCTAGAAACAGAGCCTGCATGAGGTGAGAAAGCCTGTGGAAGTCTGCAGTGTAGACAAAGCAGACCGCGGGGATGGAGCTGAGATTTAGGAGGCTTTCACTTGTATCCTTTCTTTTTGGTGTCGTGCACCATTCTTATACTGAGCCGTAAGTGATATTTTTGAAAAAAAGGACAGCGGAAGCTCACGCCCCGGCCATTCCTGCACAACACGCCTCACTCTCCCCAGGCGCGCACCTTAGAGAGGGGAGAGCGCGCCGGGAGCAGAGCCACCGGCCGCTCATGTTTGAGAGTGGGGCGGGTCGCCTCAGATCACTGTCAAACAGCAGGGACAGCAAGTCAGCATCCCCCCTGCTGCCTGGAGTCCTGTCCCCGTCACCACTCTGAGCACTTGATGACTGCCTGTCGCCTACTGTTCTCTGCTTTCCAGTGGGACCAGCGAACAGCAACTCCACTCATCCTCTGTGTCTCCAAAGCACCCAGAATAAGGGTGAGAACAAAACCGAGTCCCCATGTGTTTGGAGCACAGTCCCCCTGAAGTCCTGGGGGTTCTCGTGGTTTTCTCCAACCCCCAGTGGCGGCAAAATTCTCACCTGGGTTCCTCTGAGCACAATAGAGACTCTCCTTGGCAGCCGACTTCACCGACCAGCTCCGCTCCATGAAAAACTTCTGGCCCAGGGGGTGGCACAGCCAACGCAGTGAGTCGGGGACCGCGCTGCGCTCAGGGCCACACAGGCTCTGGGCTCTACTGAGGAAGTAGCTCTGTGGAAGGACAAGGACCAGGGGTAATTCCACGGTGGCAGAATGCTGGCTGCAGCCACTGTGGGGCTATCAGAAAGCACCGCCACGGTGGAGACAGGCTGGGACAAGACCAACAGGAGGGCCGGGCCCCTCACGTCCGTGGAAGTAAACTCCACCGCTGAAACTAGGGCAAGTGGCTCTGGGGGAGCCGGCTGGACTTGGTGACCAGGTACCACCTCCAACAGGGGCCCCGCTGCACCCTGCCCTGCTCGGTAGGCCTAACCCTCCTGGAATCTCCCTCTGGCCCTGCTGGCATGGAACCTGCAGAGGTGACGAGGGGCGGTTCGTGGAGGAGAGGTCACGGAGGCTCCGCAGCTGCATGTCCACCCTCAGCCCTGTGAGGGCCTCCGTGTCCAAGCCAGGTGGCCCCTGGGATCCTGGGACTTTTCCTTATCTGTCATTTTAATTACTTATCCTTTAGAATATTTTGAGACAAAAGAGTGTTCTGCTTTGACTAATTTTTCATCTCTTTTAGCTATGAGTATTAAGAGTATAGAGAAGCACAAAGCAAGTGGCTAGGAACTATTATTTGTATCACCCTCACTCAGGAAAGCACTGGAGTGATGGCGTAGCCAACAGTTCGTCCAAGGACCCAGGCAGGCATGCGTGTGTATGGCTGATGTCTTTCCCCCCAAAGCTGGGGGGAAAGCCTTACAAGGGCTTTATCTAGCCCCCTGAAGAGACTTCCGCACCATCCCTAGATGATCCCCTGACGTGAACACCAGCCTGTGAGGGAAGACCAAGAGAGACTCAGAGCCTCTTTGCTGGGCCCTTCGAAGCCAGTGCCCTAATCTCCCAAGCCCCTCCTCTGCCTGCAGGGTAACATCACTCCAGGCCTCCAGGAAGAAGAACTGCAGGCATGCCCTCTATCCAAGTTTTCAGAAATTCTGTCATTTATGGAGTGAGGATATTTTTACTCTAAAATCCATGATTTCCAACCCATACACCCAGTGCAGACAATCTGAATTGAGGAGCTGAGCCGAGAAGGATGGGAGGGAGGGAGGTAGAAGCACAAGACCCAGTGCTCAGAAAATCCAGAGGGGCCACTGGGACAGGCTCGCAGACTTCAACCTTCACACTTCCGCCCTTGCCTCCACAATGAGGGCAGTGCCTCCTTGTCTGGTTCAGTCTGACGGTTCTGACCTTTACTGGGCTCTAAGTAGCCATCAGCTAATATAACGGCTTCAGAAGACTTGAATGCCAGGGTCAGAAATAGCACGGCCAAAGTGCCACTCAGGGAACACAGACTAAGATGATGGACTCTCATGGGGGCGGTGGAGATATGGAGAGTGCTGCCTGAATCTGAGAAAATGACCTGGCCCAACTGCTCTACAGAATCTCTAATACTGTCACAGCACTTCCCCGAAGTCTCTCATCACGGGACCAGCAGCACTAAGGACCTTCCCTCCTCTCTGCTGACCGCTGTATTTGAGACAGGACACTGGAGAACAAATGCAGAGGAATCCCATGACCTTCTCCTGACCCTCAACAAAGTGCTTGCTGAATCTGAGCTTGTAACTGCAGTGAGGAGCCTGAATGGGACAAGAGGCTGGGGGTGGGGTGGTGGCCATCCCAGGGCCTCTGAGGTCAGAGAACCTTCTCACGGTTACTGATCAGGAAGGGAGCACCGTGCTGCTCCAGGGGAAACTGAAAACAACTGGTCCCTCAGGAAGGCCCAAACGTCACCAAGAAAAGCAGAAACAGGGGCGCCTGCCTGTGTGGCTCAGTCGTTGGGCATCTGCCTTCGGCTCAGGTCATGACCCCAGGGTCCTGGGATCGAGCCCCGCATCGGGCTCCCTGCTCAGCCAGGAGCCTGCTTCTCCCTCTCCCACTCCCCCTGCTTGTGTTCCCTCTCTCACTGTGGCTCTTTCTCTGTCAAATAAATAAATAAAATCTTAAAAAAAAAGAAAAGAAAAGCAGAAACAAAGCCTGGTTAGGTGGTTTTGCAAGGGGAACCCAAAGAATGATCTAGAAAATCATTAAGTTAAAATACATTTTTAAGCTTAATTCTGAAGAAAAACCTCAGTTCTAAGACATCTCAGTGTGTGTGTGCGTGAGCTGGAGTTTAGTGGTTTGAATTAATAAGACATATAAATCCTGGGGTATAATCATCCACAGTATAATTTCTAGAAGGCAAACTGAAAGAGTAACTTCTGTTGCTCTTTTAATTTTCTTGGCATTATCATCCTATGATAATTTTCCTAAATTTTACAGACACCAGAATCCACCCAAGCTCCAGCATGGGAGCCCCCTCCCCTCTAACTCATCTGCTAACTGCCAAATGGAGCAGCTGTGGCAGGAGACTCAGAACTGCTTAGATCCTGGGAGCCACCCTGCAGTCCCTAGCGAGTCCCAATTCTACATTGTGCCCTCCCACACCAGGCTTACCAGATGGTTCTCAAACTGTGTGCCAAGGCACCCCAAAGCACCACAAGGAAACTGCAGGGGCACCACGGGATATTTCACATTTCTGAGGTAAATACAGCCATGCCCAACATGAGTCAGACACCATGTAAACTACTAAATGGTGGTAGTTTGAAGTCTCGATGTGAGACTGCACGACCTTCCTCTGGAAGATGTCATATCTTCATAAAGCTGAGTTTTTAGAGGCTATTGGAATAAAACGCAAGCGCTGTCTGAAAATCAGAAGTTGGTGGTGTTACTCTGATTTCAAAGTTTGAGAAGGTATGCAACACCCAACAGGCACGTGGACCTCAGTAGTCGGTAATAATCAAGAAAAAAAAATACTATTTCTTCTTTCAATTTTGTGTATATTTCTTTAACGGCTACTAAATTGTTAAGACATAAATGTGTATTAAGATGTCTGTACCTAACTAATTAATAAACCGAACTGTTAGGTGTTTCTGTTAGCCCAGGGCAACCATGAAAAAATTACTGAGACACAAAGGGTGCCATGAACTGAGAAAGACTGGGAACCTCTGGTCTAAAGCATTTTCACAGAGGCCAGCCCTCTGTTTGCCCTCAAAGCCTGATTCATTTGCTAGCTAAATATATTCGACTGGATTCAAAGCTGCTTCCTCTTTAGGAAAGTACCGTCTGGGTCTCTTAGTCTGGCCCCTCTCAAGAGAAGCCAACAGAGGAAAGGGGCGGTTACTTTCCTAGAAATCAGTTCCTCTCCTCGGCCCAACCTTACTGAAAATGCAAATATGGCGACCCCACTGGTTCCAGGTATTGATGCCCTCTGAGCGAGCATCAGCACTTCTAGAGAGTTCGCCTCAGGAGAAACTTGTACAAGTGGGTGAGGAGAGCGTGAGATGACCCTGTCTGCAGCACCGTAACTGCAAATACGGGAAGCAACAGCTGAGGTGATCAGGATGGTGGTTACTCTGGCTGGAGGCCGTGGGAGAAGGGGGATTTGCTGACTGCAAGGAGGCCCAAGGAATGCTTCTGGGGTCCTGGTCATGTTTTGTTCTTGATCCGTCTGCTGGCTGTGTGAGTGTATTCACTCAACTGTTATTTATGATTTGTGTACTTTTCTACATGCATATTATACTTCAATAAAAAGTTTACAGAATAACAAATAAGAAGCAGATTAAATTATGGTGCCAGAATTCAGAATAATGGTTATCTCTGTAGGGGGCAGTGTGAGTTTGAAAGCCTGCAAAAGCTGCTGGGGGTGAAGGGAAGTTCTACTTCTTCCTTTTTAAAATATTTTATTTTTAAGTATCTCCATACCCACTGTGGGGCTCGAACTCACATCCCCGAGATCAAGAGTCACATCTTCCACCGACCAAACTGGCCAGGGGCCCTGCAAGTCCTACTTCTTGATCTGGGCAGTTGCTGTTACATGGGTGGGTTCACTTTGTGAAAATTCAACAAGCTGTAAATTAAAAGGTACACATTTTTCTGTGTGCATTGTATTTCGATAAAATTAATGTCTCCAAAACACTTTTTGGGGGCAGAGAAGTTACAAGTGTATGACATCGGCCCAGAGCACCAGGACAAACAAATGGGATAGGGAAGTGGCCCAGCCTATGCATCCTGCTCTCAGCCTCGATGGGCCTTGCCCAGAAATGCCACCTTGCCTTCCTCTAAGACTGGGTCAAGAGCAGTATGCTCTCTGGGCAGCCGAATGAGCCCCAGCCTTGCACTCACCCACTGCCATTAAGGCCTGTTCCTCCTCTGGATTCCCTGCCAGACTGTGTGCTCCCTGAGGACAGGGCGAATATTCTGCACACCATTGCATTTCCACTCCAGGGAATGCCTGGTCCAGAGCAGGGACTCGGTAACATTTGCTGAATAAATGTCTTATCTAAGGTCACTGAAATAGGGGCGAGACACAGAAAATACACTGGGTTTTCCCGTGCCCTCTGTCACCTAGACTGGGGTGACACACTTTAGGAAACATCAGTGTCGCCACAGGGCACGTTCCTTTTCATCAGCTCATCAGTGCCACGGCTGAGATATGGCAACAAATGGAGATGTGATCACTCTGTGCTGAACACAGCTGATGTATTCAGCAGCCTACTCAAAGCGGGCATCGAATCAAACGTCTCTTTCTGCTGGAGTAAGAGAAAGCCTGAGGTCAGCAGATGCTCTGAACTAGTTGATAACAAGGACTGTGAATTCCCAAGGCTGATCCCATGCCGGGCACAATGCAGGCGCCTGATAATAGCCATTCCTGCCCCGGGTCTGACGTGAGCTCCTCGAAGATGTGCACTGTTTTCCATTTCTGGACTGAGAGTAATAGAAGATAAGCAATAGCTACCTTTTGTGTGAATAAAAACACCAGGAGACACAACCAGAAAATCTCAAAAATTTTTATGACCACTTGAAGAGCAGAAGAGTCATATATTTAACCCCTTGAATATGGGTCACTGTATCACTGAATCAATCTTCTTACTTCAGGCACCAAAATGTCCTGCTTATGCTTATAAGGGCCAGGACGGGTTTTGTTGTTTTTTTGATCTACTTTGTTTAGTGCCTCAATATTTGTGAAACGACCCACTGACTGAATATCTACCCGTCTAGGTAGTCGGCCCCCAAAGGCAGGGCCCACACCCGTTTTTGCATCTTAGCTCCTGGTCAGGGAAGGGCGCTTCTGCAAGTCCGCAGAAGGGAGCTGCAGGGTACTCACCGCCAGGAAGCCTAGCTTGCCCCCACACCGAGTCTTGAGCCCCATGGCAGCAGTCAGATGGATCTCAACCAACGTGCTCGGTGGGATTTTCTCTTCTGCACATTCGGCCAAGTTCACGGCGCACAAAGCCATGTGTACATCGGAACAGGCAGATCCTGCAGGAAGCTTCCCTGTGGCAGGCAGAAACAGACGCTGACATTGACAGATTCCTCCAAACCGAGCTTTTTTCTGTTTTCTCTAGTGTGATCAGAGCAAGAGCACAAGGACTGGAGAAAAGTACTTGAACTCTGTCATCAGATGGTCCTGGCTGGGATGCAAGGCTCTGTGACCGAGTAGCCGTGTGTTCCTTTCTACCTCACAGGTTGTTGGGGACGAGAGAAAATGCATGTCAAGTCCCTGACATGTGGCCCATGGGCTGTGGAAACGGGAGCAATTATGATTGCAGGTCGTTGTATGGGACTCCGACGTAGGCACTGTGACACTTTCCAAAACACAACCGTGTTCTGCTGAAACATCTTGCATCTCCCAACATGGAGAGAGGTAATAAAAATTGAAAAACAACAAGAAAAAAATTGATGTGAATTTATTTTCATTGTAAAAGAATGCACAATATCTAAGCACACCCCTTTTTGAGGGGTAACACAAAATGGCACTGACGTTGGACATGTCTTGGGTTAGCAGGTGGAAAGCTAGGAAGGCTTCCTACATGCTCCCGTGTGAGGGCTGCAGTCATGTGGTGTGACCCTGAAGTCAGGGGCCGAAGTGCCCTCATGCGGGCACAAGGACCCATCAAGGCCGTGAGGCTTTCACACTGTTGCTACTTTGGTCCTCGCTACAGGGCCAGGAAGGGGCCAGGGCAAGCCAGCTTTGCTAAGGGAGGCTGCACTTCAGGGGTGGCCCCATGTCAAAGGTCCAGGCGGTGGCCGAGCCAGGCCTCCTGACCTCATCAGCCCCACATTCTTCCCCTGGGGCCACCCTGCCTCCCCCATCTTTCTATCAGCCCCTACACTTTGTTCTGCATGGGCATCAGGTGTCACTCACTCTCCTCCAGGAGACACCATCTGGCTTTCTGTCTTCAGGGGAGGGAGGGTGGAGGGCAATGAGGGGATCAGGTTTTAGTCACCTGTTCTCTCAGTGCCTTGAATAAAGCCAGGCCCACAGAGTGCTCAGCAAACGTGGAGGGAATGAGTGATGTGAACTACCCCAGCTGGAATTCTCCAGAACATGACAGCTGGGAGGATGCAGTCTCCTGAGCAGAGAGACCTGGGACGGTGCTGGTTCCATCCCCTGAGGGCACACTGAGAGGGCAGAGAAGAGTGAAGCAGGGTCTGCAGACAGGGACCCTCTGCCGGAACTCTACCATGACCCCAGGTGTTAAAGCCCCATGGCTGGCCCCACGGGTCTCATCTTCCATTCACTCCATGCCTGGGGCCTGCTACGGCCCCATTTCTGAGCTGAAGCTCCTTCACCAGGGCATTTACATCACCTTCCCATTACCACATCTCACTGTTGGCTTTCTGACCTTCATCGAATAGCCCCACAGCAACCTCCCTTCTCGGGCCCTCTCCCCCAACACCAAATCTCTCAGGCAGCATTCACCGGACTCCTGCCCTTGGCCTGCTCATAATATGTGGTGTTTTTCTGGGTCCCTGGAGGGTCCCCTTCCAAAGGCCTCTCATCAGCAACTTCAGCTTTCATCCTCACTGTAGGCCAAAGACCAAGCCCCCTTCTTGGGCTGCGGATCCAGCACGTCCACTGCCACTCACCATTTCCCTCCAGGTCTTACAGGCAAGCGTCCCAAACAAAACTCCTCACCTTCTCCCTGGAAAACTGCTCTTCAGCCTGTTTCCCTCACCTTTGTTGGCAGCAACACCATTCCCCCAAGCTCTCAAGTAAGAAACCGGGGAACCATCCTCACCGCTCCTTTCCTGACCCTCACGACCCATGGGCCCCCAAGCCCTGTCAATCCCAGCTTCTGCTCTCTCTCCACCTGTTCTCCTACCCCTCTCGTCTCCAGCTACATTTGCTCCTATCTGGACTCCCTGACGCCAGCCTTAATCCTCTCCCCATCCACCTTCTTCCTGCCATCACAGCGAATCCGCTCACTTCAGAATCTGATGGTGTCATCACTGTCCGGCTCCCGTCACCCCCCTCCCCCCCGGTTGACTCTAGGACTACTGAAATCTTCTCAAGAGTCATCCCAGGTGGGGCTCCTCCCTGGGAACATCTCACTGCCTGGAAGGCACACCCCCCTGCACGCGGCTGGCCAACTCTACCCATCCTGTCACGCAAAGCCAAGACTTCCCAGAAAGCCTTTCCTGAAACCCTCCTCAACAGTACACCCTGCCCTGCAACTGAAGTCCAAGCCTTCTGCTACCTCTACCACACGAAATCATAATTCATTTGCTGACCTGCCTGCCTGTTATTAGGGCAGGAGTTTGTTGCATGAAATAAATGATATTTCACTGAATCTGATATGACATCAATTTTAAGTTTACTATTAAGTACCACTAAGGAAAAAACAGTGCCAACTCAACCACACCATCCGCTGTGTAAAGGACACAGCACAAGCATACGGAGGCTAATGTGAAAACATGTGCACCTTAAACTGATGAGCTGTGGTAATGAGCCACGTTTACAGCCATGGATGTGGATGGAAGGTCTGTCCAGCCATTCTAGGAGAGCAGTGTGAAAAGGGCTTCGGCCGGGGCAGAGAGCTGGCAAACCAAGCCGGGGTGGAGAGATGGCACAGGGCACCTGGAGGCCAGCCGGGCAGTGGAGGCCACCCCTCACCTGTGATGTGCAGCTGGTGCAGCCTGTGATAGGCCAGGGCCGCGTCCCGGGCGCTGGCCTTCGCTTCGTCCTCAAAGCCTGCCGCGGTGGCCGGGGTGGCCCGCCGGCGCTGGAAGACCTTCTTGAGCAGCCAACGCACCAGGCGCAGCTTCTGCAGGCTGTAGCGGATCACATTCCAGGAGAGGCTGCAGGCCAGGTCCAGGCGGGAGGTGGGCAGGGCCCGGCCCAACACCGACAGGCAGGTTTGGAGGTTGGCCGCAGCCGCCGCAAAATCCCCCTAGAAAGCAGCAAGTACACAGATGTAATATCCACTGCCTTGCTGTGGCCTTTTAGTTTTGCTTTATTTTTTAATTTTTTAATGATTTACTTATTTATTTTAGAGAGGGGGATAGGGGCAGAGGGAGTGAGAGTCTTAAGCAGACTCTGCTGAAGGCGGAGAGGCAGGGCTCGATGCAGGGTCCATCCCACGACCCTGAGACCATGACCTGAGCCGAAACCAGGAGTCGGACACCCAATCGACTGCGCCACTCTGGCGCCCCTTTTCATTTTAACAAAAACTTTTACTTTCCCTTCACTCCCTAGATTATCAGAGTAATACATGCTCATTGAAGAATCTGGGAAAATTCAGAAAGCAACGAAAAAGTAAAAAGCAATCACCTGTAACCTTACCCCCCAGAAAGAATGATTGCTGACATTTTCATGTATTTTCTCCTCGCCTTTTTACTAAATTGGGATTGTACTGTGGTCTATCTTTGAGCAAATACTATTCACAATTTCCCACTGTAGTTTTACATGTAAGATGATAAAATGGATTTAAATGATGATCTTTTAGGCTCATGTGCTCTTTTAGGCTTTTAGGTTCTCAAAGTGTGGTTCCCGGAGACCAGCAGCATCAGCCCCTGGGATCTTGTTAGAAATGCAAATTCTTGGTTCTCTAGCCCCACCCTCCCCCCACCTGCTGAATCAGAACCTCTGGGGTTGGGGCCTTCCAGGTGATTCTGTTGCCTGCTAAAGTCTGAGAGCCACTGTTTTAAAAAGACAAACACCTGGCTAAACTACTATAACCAAGGATCTCGATAAACTACTCTTTGCCAACCTGAGAGGGTCTGATGGAGAGTCTATGGCCCTGTACTGAAGATCTCTTTCTCTCTCTCTTTCACTCATTACTGGCAAACAGAAGGAATCTGTCCTCTCCCTTCTCCGAATGTCCTGCAGTGGGCACAGCTGTATTTCCTTCCGGCATCATTACAGGGAGTGGATCGGTACAAGGGGAGCACCCCTCTCCCGGCTGCTGCGCAGCTTCCAACACACTCTGGTCCCGATGCTCCTCAGCCCTGCCTCCTGGCCCCTTCTCACTCCCAGGGCCCTCTCACTGTACTTCCGAGCAACATGGCTCAGACAGAGGCCACCACAGCTCCAGCCTCGCCCACCCTGGAGTCAATGTCACATCACTTCCATTCCACTTTGTATCTCAAATATTTCCTGAATCAGTCTTTCCTTTCAATTCCAGGTTCCTGCCACCTCTCATCCGGTCTATTCCAGGTGCCCCTAACTTGCTTCTGTGCCCCCTCCTAACCCATCCTTCCTGCAGCTGCCAAAATGACAACCATGAAACACAGACCTGAACCTGCCTCTAGGATATACATCTTGGAATGCTTTTTTTCTGGGAATGGTCCTCCTTCAAGGGCTAGGTCCCCAACAACCACATCTATATTCCATGAGCCACAGCCCTCGGCATGGCTGACAGCTCCAGGCTGCTCAATCAGATTCTCTCTGGTGGGCACTGCAGCCCGCAGGAGGGGAGTCGGCCCATAGTTTAGTGCAGCTGAGGACTGTTCCGGCTCTTGTTCCTCTGAGATGTGACCTTGAACTCTTACTTCAATGCTGTGAGTTGCCCCAGAACCCTTCCTATAAACTTTCAGCTAATTTTCCTGTTCAAAAACCTTCCTGGTTCTTGGGGCGCCTGGGTGGCTCAGTCGTTAAGCGTCTGCCTTCGGCTCAGGTCATGATCTCAGGGTCCTGGGATCGAGCCCCACATCGGGCTCCC